GTTCTCTGCTCGCCAGCTCTGGCTGTCCCAGGAGGCACTGACCTGCCCCCTAAGAAGAGGATAGATGCCAGGAAGAAACTCTCCAAGTGCATTGAGAAGCGTTTTCCTGAGGCCAAGCTGTTCCCACTGAACACAGAGCAGGAATCCTCGCTGCTCCTGAGGCACCTGAGCTCCCAGAAGCAGAGGCACCTGGCTTTTCGTGCCCGCCGCGCTCACCTGCTTGCCCGTGCTGCTGAGTTTGTGCCCAGCCAGGACAGTGACCTGGTGGGGACCCTGAAGGTGTCTGGCTTTGTCCGGGGACAGACCCTCAACGTGAACAGCCTGGTGCACATCGTGGGGCACGGGGACTTCCAGCTGAGCCAGGTGGATGCTCCCCCTGACCCGCTCTCTTTGAACCCACGCGTGGTTAAAGGACAGAAGAGGAGTCAGCAGGACATGGAGGTTCAGGTCTGTGGGGTGAGAGCTTTGTCAGTCCTTTTAGAACACAAGGTTTCTAAAATTTCATTGGGGAAAATATACCTGTGGGAAATAGGTGGGTGAGGAGAGGGGAAAGGGAATTTTGTCTCTGCTCTGGTGCTGGGCTGAGGTTCTGTGCCTGCAGTGTGTAATGAAAGTTACGTCACAACATCATGAAGGGAGTTTCACCTGAGACTGACTGGAAGCTTAGTTGGGTATGCTCAGATCTAGGAGCTTTGCTCTTGTCCTTCAGGATGACTCTGGAAATGGTGCTGTTGAGATGGAGGAAGATGTCAAGGTGCTGATGAAGGCAGATCCAAGCAAGCAGGAGTCTCTGCAGTCAGAAGTGGTTCCTGATCCCATGGAAGGGGAGCAGACATGGCCCACTGAAGAAGAGCTGCAGGAAGCAGAGGGTGAGCAGAAGCAGTAGTTCTGTATTTCTTCCTTGTCCCTCTTAGGAGGGTTGTTAGAAACTTCTGTCACCAGGGTGGCTGTGAAGAAACATCTTAGTTGGGGTGGCTTCCATCCCCAGTCCCATCAGGTGGTTTGCCTGGCAAGTTAGCAGGTTTTGGCTGTCCTGACAAATTCTGTGCTGCAAAAAAAGCAATTCTAGTCTAGATCTGGGTTTGGCTGTTCTGGTGAAAGTGTTGCTGAGGGGAAGGAGAACTGTTCCTATACTAACCCCTGGTGGGAATCCTACAGATTCTCTGAAGGCAAACAGGAGGGTGGTGAAGGTCCCCAAAGGCACATCCAAGTACCAGGCTGCCTGGATTGTGGATGATGGAGAAGAAGGCAGTGAGAAAGATGATGATGATGATGATGATGAAGATGACGACATGGATGATGATCTGATGGAAGAGGCAGTTTCTCAGGTACCTCCAAGGGCTGATAGTACAGGTGATCTCCAGGCCATTATTGCATGTTCTAGGAAGATTCTGTCCTATGCAAGGGCATGGTGCAGAGCCAGGACTTGCCTGGATTTCCACTGTTAAATCCCTGCATGTATCACATTCCTTCTTTGGCCTGTTAGACCCCAAAATGATAGGCTGGGGTCCCAAATCCCACAGTGTGAGCACACCCAGGGTGCCAGTGCTGCATGCACAGCTCTGTGTGCTCACAGGCTCTGTGCTGCCCTGTGCCAGGAGGGGGACAGCGGTGAGGAGGAGGAGGAGGAAGCTGGGGAGGAGGAGAGTGAGACCATGACCATGCCCGAGTGCCTGCGGGATGAGCAGTACGACGAGAAGATGGAGGAGGATGAACAGATGCTGGAGAGATACAAGCAGGAGAGGATGGATGAGATGTTTCCAGATGAGGTGGACACCCCACGGGATGTGCCTGCCAGGGTCAGGTAAGAAATGGGATGCTTTGCTGGGAGAGGAGTTGGAAGGTTCCTTTCTGTTTCATTTGATGAGGAAGCCTGTGATGTCTTAGCCGTGGTGTCTGAACCTGGCTGAAGGACTCTTGTGAAGACTCTTTTTGGCTCTGAGGCTTCCATTGCAACCACTGGTTGGCAGGGAGGGCTGGGTCCTGACCTGGGAGAGAGAGGAGGATGGCCCTGAGGCAAGGACAGCTTGTTTGGGGATTTGGTTGCTGGTTTTAGCTCTCTTTGCACTGACATCTTTCCTGAGGGCTAATGTTTGCTTTGCACCCTTTGTCCTCCTTGAGGCTGTGAGACCCTACAGACCACAGCTGGTGGTGAAGGATGGGATTTACCTCAGTTGGTGAAGTGATTTGTCTTTCCTGCTCTCTGTTTTCAAGGTTCCAGAAGTACAGGGGGCTGAAAAGCTTCCGGACTTCTCCTTGGGACCCCAAAGAGAATCTTCCAAGGGATTATGCCAGGATCTTCCAGTTCCAGGACTTCTCCCGAACCAGAAAGAACCTCTTCAGGCAAATAGAGAAGGAGGAGACTGAGGGAGCTTCGGTAATTCCCTTTTGCTGATCCCTTTCCCTGTTGTGTTCCTTTGCTCCCAGTAGGAGTGACTTATCAGGGAGGTGGTTGGGTGGATCTTTTGGCCAGCTGGTTCTTAGTAGGAAGCCCTAAGTTCAGACAGTTTTCTCCTGGATTCCCTTCCTAATCCAGGCACATCTTCTGACACTTTTTTTCTGTTGAGAGAAGTGTTCACAACTGCTCCTGTCTTGGCAGGTGGGCTGGTACGTTACACTTCATGTCTGCAATGTCCCTGTCTCTGTGATGGAGAGCTTCAAGGAGGGGAAACCCCTGGTTCTGTTCTCACTGCTTCCCCATGAACAAAAGGTGAACACAAGGGATATACCTCGGAGGGATGTGCAGCTCCCTGTTCCTTCAGGCTGCATGGCCTGGGGAGGGTCTGGCTGCAGAGGGTTTGGGCTGAAATCTCCCCACATTGCTCCTGTTTCAGAGCAGGTCGGAGCACGCAGAAACTGCTGGAGGGGGGGTTAGGAGAAAGTGTCTGAGCCTGGCACTGGTGACCAGTGACCTTTTGGGACCCCATTTTCCAGGACATTGATCTCTGCTGCAATGTCCTGTTGTTTTCTGCTGCCCAGCAGCCCCTGACTGTGCTGCCTCTTGCAGATGTCTGTGTTGAACTTCCTGGTGCGTCGGCACCCGGGCAACAGTGAGCCAGTGAGGGCCAAGGAGGAGCTGATCTTCCACTGCGGGTTCAGGCGCTTCCGAGCATCCCCCCTGTTCTCCCAGCACACCTCAGGTTTGTCAGGGACTGGGTACAGCAGGAGTGGGGTTGGGAATTCTGGAGTAGGAAGCCTGTGATGTCTTAGCCGTGGTGTCTGAACCTGGCTGAAGGATTCTTGTGAAGACTCACTCCTAGGCTCTGAGGCTTCCAGGGCAGGCACTAAATCATGGGCAGTAGAATGGCTTGGGAAAGGTGGTTCACTGATCCAGGCAAGGTCCAGGTTCCATGCCAGAGGATCACCTTCATTCCCAGATACTCAGTGCCAGTAGAGGAGGGGTGTTTGTTGAACAGGGAACAATGAGCTCTGGGGTTTCTCACAGCTCTGAGGGCGGCTCTGGCCTGAACTTGATAATTTCTGTTCTGTCCTAGCTGATAAACACAAGCTGGAGCGTTTCCTGCGCCCAGATGCTGCCCTGGTGGTGACTGTCTATGCTCCCATCACTTTCCCTCCTGCCTCAGTGCTGCTTTTCAAACAGAGAAGTAATGGTGAGTTAATAAATGCTGAGGAGGTGAAGTCTGGGAAACAAACTGTCCCCATACCCTGCTAATAAGTGCATCTCTCCAGAAAGTATGACTTGAAAAAGCTGTTTCCTTCCTGCTGTTTGAGATGAGCTTCTCTCCATCCCTGTTGTCACTTATTGTCCCTGCTGTGGGGTTGCTCTGGGCCTGCAGCCCTTTGGGGAAGGGGTTTGTGCTGGGGAAGGGGGGTGATGGAGGCACCTGCCCTGGTGAAATGGTGACTCTGCCTGGCAGGAATGCACGACCTCATTGCCACGGGCTCCCTGCTCTCCGTGGACCCCGACAGGATCGTCATCAAGCGCCTGGTGCTCAGTGGCCACCCCTTCAAGATCTTCACCAAGATGGCTGTCGTGCGATACATGTTCTTCAACAGAGGTACAGCTGGTCTCTGGTGGGAGGAGAGGCTCTGGAAGTTCTGTCCCTATGTTTATGTTGGTGCAGCACAGCCTGTTCCTTACCTGCCTTTTGTGTTTCCATCTCCAGAGGATGTGATGTGGTTCAAGCCCGTGGAGCTGAGGACAAAGTGGGGACGCAGAGGGCACATCAAGGAGCCATTAGGTTGGTTTGATTTGGTGTTTATCTCTGTGTTGCTGGCATGGTGTGATCCTCCTGTGCCTGAGAGACTGCTAATGGCCTCTTCTGCCCTCTGCCTAGGGACCCATGGGCACATGAAGTGCCACTTTGATGGGCAGCTCAAGTCCCAGGACACGGTGCTGCTGAACCTCTACAAGCGTGTTTTTCCCAAATGGACTTATGACCCTCATGTCCCAGAGCCTGTGCCGTGGGTGAGGAGTGAGAGTGCACTGCCAGAGCAGGAGGTGGAGATGGAATGAGTCTCCAGCATGGCTGGAGTTTGTGCCTTGGCTCCCTGGATGCTGTTCTTGGCCCATGCACTGTGAGGACAGCACTGATGCCTTGGACGTGTTACTGCTGGGGTCTGTACAGGGGCAGCTGCGTCGCCAGCTGCTGCTCAGGTACCAGCTATAGCTATTTATTTTAATGGAAAATGTCAAAAATGCCTAAGTGCCTCTGTCGTGGTGGTGGCCAGGAGGCTGTGAGCACCCCTTGTCCACTGACCCCACTGGGATTGTTTCAGTCCCTCATGCCCAGCCACGTGGGGTGAGGGGGATTTTGCTGTGTGGGTGAGTTTGCTGGCAGTTCCTGTGCTGCTGAGAAAGAAGAGCCAAGTAGCAGCTGGGGAGGGTGACTGAGTGCAGCTCTCTGGAGGCCTGGGCCAGAGCAAGGCAGCTGGGGAGGGGAGAACAGGCAGCGCTTTGTTTCCAGCTCCCCCCCCACAGAGACCAATGCCAGCTTCCCTTGTCCTTCCACAAAAACTCCCAAACCTTTGGACTTGATCTGCTTTTAGTAGGACACAAACCACCACAGAAATTCAGAGTGAAGTTTTTCATTCCTTGAAACACCATCCTCATTCTGCTTTCCCAGAGAGGTCTGTGAGCCAGGTCAGGGCTCCCAGGTCCACGTTTCCCCCACACAGCACGATGCAAACGTTCTGCACGTCCCGGGGGACGGCCTGGAACTGCTCCGAGAGCACAGCCGCCAGTCCCACGCCTGCTGTTGGCTCAATCAGCAGCTTCATCCTTTCCCACACCAGCCACGTGGCTCGCTGTGGGGACAGGGCAGCAGCTGTCAGCCCAGCAGCCAGCACAGGCTGCTTCAGGGTATCCCTGCAGCGCTCTGGGAAGGGAGGGCAGAGCTCCCAACAGCCCTTTCCAGCTGGAGACAGCGTGGGTGTCACAGCTGCAGTGGTGCACAGGGGGTTTGTGCTGCTCTGGGAGTGTGTTGGGGTGAGAGCAGAGGGGCAGGGCAGGGGTGGAGGCAGCTGCCTGCTGGCAGCTACCGTGAGAAGGGAGCCGGGAGCCTTTACCTTGATTTCTTCCTCTGAGACTGTCAGAACATCATCAACCAAATCCCTGATGATGGGCCACGTGTTGGGCCCGATGCTGGTTTTTACAGCGTCTGCGATGGTGTTTCGCGGGTGGAGGTTGGGGGTCAGCTCCCCTCGGACCTTGGACTGGTAACAGTCATCCACATTGCTTGGCTCAGCAGCAAACACCTTCACATCCGGCCTCAAAGCCTGGGGAGTGCAGGAGGAGCCACTGGGGTGACACCAGTGTGTGCCTGTCCCCTGTTTCTGTGTGTGCAGGGGGCTAAGCAGGCCCTGCTGCTGCCGCCATGCAGACTTTCACTGCAGGGTCTTTGTGTTTCTAAAGTTAAAAGCTGCTCCCTGCCTTGAGAGTCCTGCCCTGCCCACAGGGAGATTCCTGGATCAGCTGTTGCCTACCTTGATGGCGACTGCTATTCCTGCAACCATTCCTCCACCTCCCACAGGAACCACCACTGCATTTACCTGGGGTGCCTGTGCAGAAAGGAAGTGTGAGGGCTTCTGACACTTTGTGTCCCCCTTTTTGCTGTGCCCCTGCAGGGGCTGGGCTGTGCATTTCCCTCACCTGCTCCAGCACCTCCAGGGCGATGGTGCCTTGCCCTGCAATCACTGCCAGCTCCTGGTTGGGGTGCACCAGGACTCCTCCTGTCTCCTGGACTACATTGGATGCTGTCTCTGCTCTGGACTAAGGGAAAGCACAGCAGTCACCTCTCACTCTGCCTGGGCAGTGTCCCTGGCCCATCTCCCCTGTGCCTTACCTTGTCACTGGGGTCACATGGCACCAGTGTGGCACCATAGGCACGAATGGCATCTTGCTTACACTGCGGGGCAGTCCGGGGCACCACGATGTAGGCAGGAATCCCTGTGGCATGAGACAGGAAGTCAATCCAACATCTCAAAAGCCACAGCATCCAGCTCAAACTGCAGGAGCAGGCAATGCCTTGCCTATGCCAGCTCCTGCACGGGTTCAGGAGAGGGATCTCCATCCTCTCCAACAGAACCAGCTCTGTATTTACCCCGTGCCTGCCTCTTGGAGCAGGGTGGGGGGTACAGGTTACCTTCTGCCTGGGCAGCACAGGCGAGTGCCTGCCCGTGATTGCCGCTGCTGTGCGTGACCACAGCGCGGGGCAGCTCCCGGCCCGTGCGCTGCCGCTCCTCAACGAGGCTCCTCACGGCGTTCAGGGCTCCACGGATCTGCAGGGAGAGCGCAGGGCTGGGTGTGCTGGGCTGAGTGTGCTTCCTCCTCACACCACTCCCTGAGCCCTGGGCAGCACCGTTCACCGCAGGGAATTAACAGGGCGGCAGGAGCTGGTGGGTGCCGGCGCAACGCGAGTTTCCCTCTTGCAAAAAGCGACCTTTGCCCCGGGGCTTCGTAGTGCCGCCATCCCCGCGCACCTTGAAGGATCCGGTCTTCTGCAAGAGCTCGCACTTAAAGAGCAGCTTCCTGCCGGCCATACGGTCCAGCCCGGCGCAGGTGAGCAGCGGGGTGCGATGGATGCGGCCCCGCAGCCGCCGCTCCGCATCCCGCACCTCGCCCAGCCCCAGCGGCGGCGGCGCGGCTCCGTGCGCGGCCATGTGCGCGCCCCCGTGAGCGCCTGCGCGCGGCCGCGCGGGCGGTTTGTCCCTGCGCGGCCGCCGTCGGCGCCGCCCGCCCCCGGCGCTGCCAAGATGGCGGAGGGGCTGGAGCGCGTCCGCGTCTCGGCCGCCGAGCTGCGGGACATGGTGGCGGCGCAGGCCCGCGCGGCCGGCGGCGGGCGAGGTGAGGGGCGCCGGGAGCACTCGCGACCCGCTGCCGGGCCGGCCCTGCCGCGCACAGCCGGCTGCCTGCGGCCGCGCACGGCCCCGCGGCCGTGCTGCGCCTAGGGTAGGGCTTGGGGCAGAGCTGCCGCCCCGCCGGCGCCGGCTCGGGGCTGTCCGGGCTGGGAGCGCACGGCACCGACCACGGGGAGCCTGCGGGGCGGGCGAAGGCACCCGGAGCGGCTTTGCCCCGCGATGGTCGGTCCCAGCCCCTCGGGGTTCTCCGGGCCGAGCCCTCGGTACCGGCGGGGTTCGGGGCTGCGGTACTGAGAGGGGGAAAGTTTAGGGAATGCAGTGGGGAGCAGCCTGGCTTTGGTTGGGCGTTTAACTGTGCGGGAACCGGCCTGGGCTCTGTAACGATTTTTTTTTTTTTTTTTTTTTTTGTAAATACGGTTAAAGGAGGAGGAGAGAAACGTTACCGGATTGTGAGCAAGGGGGAAAGGCGCCTTTGAGTCAAACGGTCCGGTGGCAGAGCGGGCGCTGCTGGGGATGGCAGCTCCTGCACCCACAGCAGGCTGGGGACTGCTGCTGAACCTGCCGTGATACAACTTTACTCTTGCTGCTTGTGCTCAAGTCTGGTGGTGTGCTTTGAGGAAAAACCTGTTGCAGGATGGGATTTGTAAATGGATCAGGCCAAGGATTTGGTCAATTGTGTTAGGCTTTCTCATTTTCTACTCTTATTCTGTGATTTTCCATAAATATTGATGTAGATTTTCAGATCTGGCAGGCTGTTTACCTTGACTTGAATATTTGTCATGGTATTTTTTGGTCCCTGGGAATAACTTTCTCCTGTCTGTTTTTCCCCAGAAAACATGAAGGAGGTGAAGGAGCCGAGGCACCGCAAAGACAACAGGCGCCCAGACCAGGAGATTTACAAGCCTGGCCTCTCCAGACTGAGGAGCAAACTTGTGTCACCAAAGCAAGAGGCCTCGGAGAAGGAAAGGAGCAGAGCTGAGGAGAACAAGGAGGAGAGTGCTGGGGACAAGGACTCTGTGGGAGTGGGAGCTCCAGCTGTGGAGGATTGTGACAAAAGTGATGGCCCCAAGCAGAACGGTCCTTCACAGGAAAAGGAAGAAACAGAGACCAAAGGTGGCCTGCAAAGCCAGGAAAACTCATCCAAGCAGCCCATTGTGGATGAATGGTGCCCAAAGGCCCCCAGGAGAACCAAGAAGCCAGACCAACAGATCTACCAGCCTGGGAAACGCCTGCAGTCTGCTGTTAAGGAACCCTCCCTGCAGTCAGCCAGCGAGGAAATCACCGGGAGGATGGAGCAGCTGAAAGTTGAGGGAGACGAAGAGACTGAGAAAAGCACTGGAAAAGACAACAGGAAAATCAGATCCAGCAGGGAGGATAGAGAGGGGAGCCAGGCAGGGGAAGCAGTGAAAGCCTCCAGGGGGGATAAAGGGAGGCGAGCAGAGCGGAGTGACAGGGTGAGGAGGGCGGGGGATGAGGTGCTGCCGGGGAAGCTGGGCTCCACCAAGCGCTACTCGCGCACAGACAAGCGGCGCAGCCGGTACCGCACCTGCAGCACCAGCTCAGCCGGCAGCAACAACAGCACGGACGGAGCCCTGCTCGTGGATGGGGTGGAGAGGAGGCAGGAGCGTGCCAGGGAGAGGATACGTCCCAGGAAGCAGCTCTCTGTGTCCTCCACAGATTCCCTGGACGATGACAGGATTGATGAGGCTGAGGTGTACGTCTCCAGCAGGAATTCAGACAGGAGGAGGCATTCGGAGCAGAGCCGAGCTTCCAGGAGTGAGAGTGAATGGAGCAGCAATGGCAGGGAAGTCAAGGGACCCTTTCGAGTGACATTTGACAGCAGGACCATGAACAGGGACATCGGCCTGGCAGATACAGATAAAAAAAAGTCCCTGAAGGCCTCTGAGGTTTCGGAGGCAAGGAGCCAGAGCAGGGAGCCCCAGGGGAGGGGCCGTGGGATTCTGTTCCTGCCTGCCAACACGGACCTCTCTGCCAGCTCAGTGGGTGTCCCTGAAGCCACTCACCCTGGCCCCAGGCTCCTGCTGGGCGGGGCTGGCAGCAAAGGCCCCCGGAGCCGGGGCCGAGGTGGCACTGCCCGCCGCCTGTGGGACCCAAACAACCCGGACCAAAAACCCGCCCTGAAGAGCCAGACTGCTCAGCTTCACTTCCTAGACACGGATGATGAAGTGAGCCCCACCTCCTGGGGGGAAACCCGCCAGGCCCAGCCCTCCTATTATAAATTCCAAAACTCTGACAACCCCTATTATTACCCTCGTGCCTCCGGGCAAGGCCCCCAGTATCCCTATGGGGGATATTCCCTGCAGTATCCTATGGGTCCAACCAACGGGGTGTACCCAGGAGCCTATTACCCTGGGTACCCTGGCCAGGCAGGGCAGTACCTGTGTGGCCCACTCCCTCCTACTCCTCTGAGCCCTGAGATGGAGCAGCAGATGAGGAACATGCAGCAGCAGGAGCTCAGCAAACTCCTGCGTGAGGCTGGGAACCAGGAGCAGCAGCTCAGCAACCTCCTGTCCAGAGACCGCATCAGCCCGGAGGGGCTGGAGAAGATGGCCCAGCTGAGGTTGGTGGGTGGGCTGTGGAGGGGGGAGTGAGTCATTTCCAGGGTGAAAATTTCCAGGAGAATGGTGTCTCCTTTGGGGATCTCGGTGGCTGGGAGATGTGGCACTGGGTTGTCAGTTTTTGATGTGCTGGGTCTGTTTGTTGTGTGCCAGTGGTGTGTGGGTGGTGGAAGGAAGCTGTGGGTGAGGATGGAGATACCACTTCCCTGTGGCTTCTTGTGCTTGCTGAATGCCTTGCAGGGACACAGAGGAGCAGGACAAGCACCTGCTGCACATTTTTGGTTCTTCTGGCTCTTGCTGGAGCTGATGCTTCTCAGTTCCAGTGCTCTCAGTGTTTCTTGTCAGACTTCTGCTTTCTTACCTATCCTTAGTGTGTGCTCAGGGAGCATTTTGTTGTTCCTGGTGCTGTCAGTGGCAGTGCCTTTCCAGTGCTGTGTGGTTTTGCTCTTGATGCCACTGGTGATGCCAGTCTGTCAGGAGACAAGTAACACTGTTGCTCTGGGGGGTGGTTAATATGGCTGTAACAAGTTTCTACTTGGCATCTTTCACATTTATTTGTGATCTCTGTGTCTGCAGGGCTTCTCTGGAGGCTGTTTTTCAGAGCTGACTGACAGCAAATCTAGCAAGTGAGCTCATTTCAGGGCTTGTTCTGTGTTTTGGGCACTTGCTCTATAAACCACGGACTGGAATATGTCTGTGATTGAAGCAGCACTTGAGGTTTCAGGTCTTCCTCAAGGAGCTGAGGTCAGCCAGAGCTGTTGTGTGGAGGGAGAGGAAACACTGGAGTGCTGCTGTGACTGTGGAAGCCCCCCCTGCCCTGGTGGGCACAGTTGACCCTGTCCTTGCTGGCAGTGCCCCTTGTGTCCTGCCTGTGTCCAAGTGCCTGCTGTCAGCTGTGTGGGGCCTCTTACATGGCATCCATCTGTGGAAATGTCCAGTTTCCTTGGTGTTTGTGCTGTCCAGGTGTGTGTGCAGGGTTTGGGGACTGTGTAGGGTCAGGCAGCCCATCCTGGCTCTGTGCTTTGGGCAGGAACCCATCAGGATCCTTCTCTTATCCTGTCAGGCTCTTCCAGGCATTGCCATCTGGCTTTACTCCAGGCTTTACCATCCACACTCTCTACTGTTTCTTGAGTACTTGAAAGATTATAAGGAATAAGGCAGGAACAGCTGAGGATCCCCTTTACCATTAACTTGCCCTACATGTTTCAGAGCTGTTCCTAGCCTGCAGCTATTTTATTAAATTTGAGGGAGGAATTCTGCTCCAGCATCCAGGCAGGGCTGTAGGCAGCTGAGAAGGGAATGTGATTTCTGGGACTCTGAGGTTTTATTTCCATTGTTCCCAACTTGTCCATTTTTGAGGAAGCAGAGTCTGTGACTCTGCCGTGTATTTTGGTTGGATGGAAGAGGAGGGGGGATCATTTTAATGGCAAGATCTGTGTTGCCCTGTGATTCTTTGTGTTCTGGTTCCTGGCCCAGACCTTGTGCTCAGAAGGAGCAGAGCCTTGTGTGTGTTCAGAGCAGTGTGTGTGTTCTCTGTGTTGGATCAGGAGACACTTGTGCCTTGCTGTTGGCAGAACTGTAACCTTGCTCCTTGCACTTTGCCAAACCTTGCTCCATTCTGAGTCACCTGTACAAGGCAGATGCTCCTTTTGGATTTGCCCTCTTGGAGTTGGATTGCAGCAGCTCCCACCTCCCTGGGGGCTGTGTGTGGAAGCAGTGAGTGCTGCTGGCAGCTGGATGTGAGCAGCAGGTGGCTCAGCACGTGTTCCCTGTGCTCCTGGGCAGTTGCTGTTGCACTGACCCCTCCCTGACTGTGTTTTGCTGCAGGGTGGAGATGCTGCAGCTCTATGAACGGTGCATCCTCATGGATATTGAGTTCTCTGACACCCAGAACGTGGACCAGTTGCTGTGGAAAAATGCTTTTTACCAGGTGATTGAGAAATTCCGGCAGCTCCTCAAGGACCCCCAGGGGGAAAACGCCCAAGAAATTCGGAACAAACTGCTCTTGCTTCTAGATGAGGTAAGAAGAGAGAGAAACATCCCCAGATTCCACTAAACCTTTAGGTGGGATTGACTGGTTTTTAGAAAGGGATGGTGCAATGGGGCAACTGGTCATCTTGATCTTATTCATGTCATCCTTATGCAAAGAGGATGCTCAGACACATTATGGTTTAGTGGGGCAGGTGTAGGTCGAGGTAGACATCTGTTACAATTTAAACCAGC